CCTAAACCCTAAACCCTACATTCGGTTTCAAGGTGGCTTGGACGTAGTCGGACCTCGGGCTTGGAGGGCTAAGGCCGGGCTGCTTTCTGTCGGTCTAGGTCCGTGTTGCGACAGGGGTGGCCATCTTTCGAACAATACACGGGTTTAGGGTTTAGGGTGTAGCTGATGACTCATGGGTGGCTGCGCTCTCCTCTCTTGGTCCGCGGCTTCTTAAGCAAAAGATACCCTTCGGCGCGTACATCGGGTATGACAAACAGGGTTCCTCATGTATCGGGACTTACTCTACGAAATTACAGCCCAAACATCACCAAAGATACCAGATCTTCAACACGGCTCTACCTGAACTACCCTAAACTCTTAACCCCTAAACCCAAACCCCTAAACCCTAAACCCCTAATCCCCAACCCCGAAAGCCTACAGCCTAAACCCTAAACCCCTAAGCCTAGCCCCTAAGCCCTGAAGCATGCGAGCGAAAGTCCCACTGCACCCTTTAACAAAGCCCTAACGCCTATACGGGAATGATCTCCGGATTCCTAGATATCCTAAATTAGAGTAGGGTTCTGTTGCAGGTTTAGGGTTTAGGGTTTGGGTGCAAGATTTAAAAAAACTACAATGCAACACCGAACTTGGCCTACATAAAGCCCTAGAGTTTCCTCAGCAAACTGCATACCCTACAACTCCGAAACCTAGACCCTAAGCCTCAAAGCTAAGACTGAAATCCTAAGCCCTAAGCCTTAAACCCTAGACCCCAAACCCTAAACCCCAAACCCTAAACGCTAATCCCTAAACCCTAAACCCTAAACCTTATAAACCCTAAACCCTAAACCCTACACCCTAATCCCTAAACCCCAAACCCTAAACCCTAAACCCGAAACCCTAAACCCTAAACCCTAAACCCAAACTTCGAGCTTTATGCCGGGAGTCAGGTCTCCAGCTTCGCCCGCGGCCGCAGATCCTGCTGAGGCCATCCTTTCCCTGAGGGTCCTTGTGCCGATACGGATTTTCGAGGGTTTAGGGTTTAGGGTTTAGGGTTTAGGATTTTTGAGGGTTTCATAGGGGCGTTCATGAGGGCTTTCTCATGGGCTTGCAATGGTTTTATGATGGTTTTATACGTATATTCTCCTTGTTCCAGGGTATGCAGTATATTTAGTTCTGAAATAAAGCGGTTGCTTTGTCGGTGCCTAAGGTTCAAGGATACACTGCAGAGGTACAGAGATCCGTAGGGTCTAGGGCTGAACTCTGTAACAGTAGGTCCTTGTAGTTATTATATGCGTTTGGGACATTTTGCATTGTCCCTTGTTGGGCTTAGGTGGACCTTATGTTCGGATGTGTCTCAGAGGCTTCAAAGGGCCAACCCTCGGAATGTCGGATCCTTCCAATAGGGATGCTGGAATACTGAGTTGAAGCCCCTAAATCCCTAAACCCTAAACCCCTAAACCCCTCAACCCTAAACCCTACCCCGCGAGACCCTAAACCCGGACCCAAGCGCCAGACCAAGGAGAAGAGTGCTCTTCACCCAGTCGCGCTGCAAGCAGCGAAGGCTTCGGATGATCCGATGTAGATGTCTGAAGTTTTAGTAATATCCCCTTATAGCTGCAGTAGCTACGCAAGCTAAAGTATGTCATACGCCGAAACCCCCAAATCAATTCAGCCGCTACGCGTACCCGCGGCCAACTCACCAGCTGTAGCTGAGCTCCTAATTTCGGAGCCCGAAAGCCCTAAAGCAAAAACAGACGGGGGGGGTCGGGGTTGGAGTGTTGGGTGATGAAGCTTAAAGATTTCTTTCAGGGTTGCTTGTGCGTGTGTGATGAGTATTAGGGATCCAAGTGATATGCTCCTAAACCCTAAAACCTGCAAGCACTTGCTTCGGGGAGAAGCGACGGATTTTTTCTACCAAAGCTCTTGCTTTGGGCCGTGATAGGCCGGATCCCTGAGCCCTTAACATTCGGGTTCAGGGTTTTTGGGGCTGGGGTTTCGGGTTGACGGTTGATTGGTATAGGATTCAGAGGTTTGGGTTCAAGGTTTTGGGGATTTCGATACCCAGTCACCAGTCGAAGCCAAACCCTAAACCCTAAACCCTATACACCCTAAACTCTAAACCCTAAACCTTGCACCCTAAATCCTAAACCCTAAGCCTTAAACCCTACACCCTAAACCCCAAACCTTACACCCTAAATCCCAAACCCTAAGCCTTAAACCCTACACCCTAAACCCTAAACCTTACACCCTAAATCCCAAACCCTAAGCCTTAAACCCTACTAAATCTTACACCCTAATTCCCAAACCCTAAACCTTAAACCCTACACCCTAAATCCTAAACCCTAAACCCAAAACCCTAAACCCTACACCATCAACCCTAAACCTTACACCCCAAATCCCAAAACCCTAAACCCTAAACCCTACATCCCAAACCCTAAACCTTACACTCTAAATCCCAAACTCTGAACCTTAAACCCTACACCCTAAACCCTGAACCCTAAACACCCTAAACCCTACACCCTAAGCCCTAAACCCTAAACCTTAAACCCTACACCCTAAACCCACCCTAAACCCTAAACCCTAAACACCCCCAAGCAGCTCCCAGGGGCCGCCGCCAGCTGGCAAAGGCGGGAGCACAAGCGAAGCACCACGGTCGTCTCTCCTTCGACGTTAGTGATCCTTTAAAGGGTCTTTAGGGTTTACGGTTTCAGGGGTTTAGGCATTTAGGGTTTAGGGTTTAGGGGTTTAGGGTTTGGGGTTTAGGGTTCTCCAATGCCCAACCTTTAAACTTTTTGGGTTCTTATGACTTGCTAGCAATCTGAAAGTTTAACCTTTTCTTTCTCTGGCTTATTGGGACGTAAGTCAACCCTCGACCCAAAACCCTATGCCCGACTACATACTGCTTTCGCTATCTAAGCTTCGCAGACAACTCACATGTTGAGGAGACATAAGCGGCTTTAGCAATTGCAGGGTTTGGCGGAAGGGTATTGTAGGAAGCCGCAATCCAGGGTGTCACAGCTCGGCGAGCATTGGGCAACTTCTTGGGTATGTAGTTGGTTTGGTTTACGCCATCGCCCACCTTTGAATTCGATAGTCCATGACCCTCAGCCTATTGGGTCTTTAGTGCTTTGGTTTAGGGTTTCGCACTCTAAGCCCGAAGTCATCTAAGTAACATGTATCGACCTAACCCAGCGTGGTCAGCAGATCCCCGAACTTACTGTGAAAGCCTTCTCCAAATCCCAACAGTAACAGAGGCCCTTCACCCTATGAGCCCTAAGCCCCAAGCCCTAAGCCTTCAGCCCTCAACTCGAGAAGCGTAGCCTAAACCCTAAACCCTAAACCAAAGCGTGAATCCGCGAGTGGAAGAATTGAGGGTTCGGGGCTCGTGCTCGACCCTGCCAAATCAGGGTTTAGGGTTTTCAAGTGCTATTCCGTATTTTTTCGGGTTCCTCAATGAAGTCATACCATACTCTACCCCACAGACCCTATTCTGATCATTAAGGCCTCGATACTAAACCCTTATGGTAAGCCTTATGGAACCCTTCACAGGAACTCTTAATGAACCCTGCTAAACCCTTATGGTAAGCCTTATGGAACCCTTTTCAGGAGCTCTGAATGAACCCTCTTCTAAATCGTAAGTCCCCTATATTGCAAAATGCCCCTCGCAACATGAAGCCCCACACCCTAAACCCCAAACCCTAAGCCCTAAACCCCACAACCTAAGCCAGGAACTCTAAGCCCTAAAACCTTAAACCTTTGCTCTAAGCCCTTAAACCTATAGCCCTAAACCTGGACCCCGAACTCTAAAAATCCTAATCCGTAAACCCCAACACTGCGAAGCCACTGCTTGTTGCGAGGAAAGGCCAAAGGTCCTGGCAAGCCGGCAAAGGCCCTGTAGGTTTTTCGGGTTTCTAAGGGTGTAGGGTTTAGGGCTTCACGGATTTAGGGGTAGGCTTTGGGTTTTTAGGGATGCAGGGCTTTGGGTTTAGGGTTTGGGGGTTTAGGTTTTCTGGGGTTAGAGCTTTTGGGGTTCTAGGGGTGTAGGGCTTGGGGTGTAGGGTTTAGGGCTTCCGGGATTTGGGGGTTAGGGCTCTGGGGCTCAGGGGGTTTGGGGTTAGAGCTCTTTTCAAAAGCCTTGAGAAGGGTTCTATACGTAAGTTTATCTACGGGCTTTGCATATTCTCAGAGTACAGTCTACCCTTTCATCTGCGAGGGGACTTAGTGGAGCTTGGTTTGGGATTTAGGGTCTTGGGGTGTGGGGGGAAATCCTGGTATTGGGCGTAGGGGCGTGGTTCTACTCCCTCACGGAGAAGCTGGCGACGCTCATGGACCACTCCCGGCATGAACCCTACGCCTATAACCCTAAACCCTCAGATCTAAACCCTAAACCCTAAACCCTAAACCCTAAAACCTGATCCCTAAACCCTAAACCCTAAACCCTAATCCCTAAACCCTAAACCCTAAACCCTAAACCCTAAAGCCTATATGA